GGCCAGACTACAATCTTGTGGTACATTTAAATTAGATTGTTTTGTTTTTAGACCTTAGGCTTCATGTACTGTACATGGGACATTTGGAAAACACTTCTGAATGATGGAAACTGACTGCTATAAAAAGTAAGTTAAAAAACGTCTGTTTAGCCGTGTTTGCATACCGCATTTATGCACGTTTATGCGCATTTATGAGCATTTGCGTTTAGAAGCGTTTTTTTAATGGTAACTTCAGGAGACCTTCCAAAATGCCCAGAATGCACTGAAAAACAGTAAAAAATTAACTATTTCAGACATTTTGAGAGAAATAGAGAGAGCAGAAGCAGAGACAGCAGTATTTGTTGAGATTAGCTGTCTTTTTTTGTGGTGTTTAGATGTGTTCCAGCTCATTTCTGTGCAGAAATTATTACAGCAGCGTCTAACATATTTTCTTTCATGCAAAGCCTCAAAGTATGGTGCACCAGGTCCATTTGAGTACCGGGAAAATGCTTTGCATGCATTTTTCATGATGAAAAAAAGGCTCTGGACAGCATCTGGAAATGGAAGAGTTAAAAAAAAGCATTTGAAACGCTGCTAAAATCTACTCTTGAACGCAAGTTTGGTGCATTAAAAAAAACGACTGTAAACTCAACTGCCTGTAAATGACTGTAAACGATGATGTGTACATGGACACATAGGAAAACATTAGGGAGAGTTCAGGGGCTGCTGAAAAAAATGCTGAACAGCTCCTAAACGTGAGTTTATCAGCTGCAGTGTACATGGAGCTTACGCGTGTGTATCCTGGAGTTCAGTTGGTTACTGGCACTTCCTATTTCAGTTTACAGGAGCCCAGAGCCTTCCACACAGATCTAGGTAGCTGCACAAGCATTAAGAGACATCACTAGGTCTGGAAGCTGTGTTCTTGTGGACATATGCCTTTTATCTGATAACCCAGTGAGTTGTCAATTGTATTTTAATAAAGTGGCTGATCTCAATGCAACACTTAATAGGCGCCCTCTTTTCTCCATTTTTGTTCCATTACAGAGGTTGCTTTCTACTCTGTGGTAGCTGCCCTAAGTGAGACTGTGGATAACATTAGAGGACTATTTCCTCAAGCTGGACGTTTGTGGACTTGTGCTGCTTGCCCTATTAGCATCATTTATCTCGTATTTCCTGTACATGGAAGGTTTGCTTCATACTTTCATCATTTGCTGGCACTGTCTTATGTGACTATTGTGAACATATTATTTTTTTTTTAGTAACATTTATGGAACAATATTTTGTCCAGACAAATAAATCTTTAGGAATGGACAGCCAATGAAATTATAAATTTTCATGCTTACTCAGCTTCACCTTGGTGTATGTCGGTAAAACATTCCTTAGAATATTGAACTGCCTACTGTTAATTATGTTAATTACATCAAAATATGTTGCTTATAGCATAAGGGAATTCTATTTCTATAAATTCTCTTTACTCATTATATTCTTCATTGAAAAAATATAATCAAACTTTTTTCTTTTTTTATAGCCTAAGAGAAACTTTTGTAAATTTTTTCCTTTAAAGTAGAAATATAGGCAAAACTTTTTTGGCTATACTTCTCCTATGGATCACAGGAGTAGGGTTCGTTTTGCACTCCTGTGACCAGTTTGCTGAGAGTGGGCTAAAATCTGCTGTCGGCTGAGATCACAGAGTCAGTCCAGGCTCTGAAATGTTCCTGATCATATGGTTGGGATTTACCCAGAAGCCTGGACCGCAACTGGCTCAGCCTCTCAGCAATCCACCTAGAACAGTGCATTGTTTGATCGCTCACTGCAGAGCCGGGTGGGAGACAGATGCAGTGTCGATCGATGCTGCATCCACCTAGGTGTGTATAATGTTTTTTTTTTTATAAAGTGTATACTTCTCCTTTAAGCATTTTTAGCCAACAGGTATAGCTAAAGTTTGCTTTTCACATGTCAACTTGGCTCTTTTAGCTGCTCTGTTGAAAAGAGCCTGTTGCTTAAAGAGGTCTATAGCAAAAGATCAGATTCAATTATACAACTGAACAAGTCAGAAAGTTATTCATCTACTGCTCTTACAGTTTCACACAGACATTCAACCAGTGAGAGAAAGAGAGGAAACAGCTTCCGTTGTGCTGTTTCTTAAGAAAACCCTAAATTCTTTGTTATAAAAAATGTGCGGGTGCACTCCATGTAATATATTTTATGTAAAATAAAAATATTATTCAATAGTAATACAATATATGAAATTAAACTTGACCCTAAATCATGAAATCTTTCCGTTAACATTGATGCAGGTGTTATGTGCCGCAAGTTTCTCTTTACATTTGTTATCTTGTTTCCAGGAAATGAGCAGGAAACTGTTTGTCTTGTTACTTCTAATTGAAGAACTTCATCAAATACAAAAAAAAATGTCTGTCGCATAACATACTACCAGATATTTATTTATTTATTTATTTTTTATAGAGAGCCTGTTGCCATATTATATTCCCGTCAGATTTTGTATACATTTAGTTTACCCATTGTCACTCAGGTTACAATTAAACAGAATTTGCTTAGTTATCAGACAGAGAGTAACTGTAAGGCTCCTTTCACACTGGGTGGACTCCACTTGCGATCCGCTTGCTCAGCAGGGGATCTGTCTGCTGATCTCTGCTGAGCAGGTGAATGACAGGTCCATGTCTGCTCCGCTTATGCAGAGTGGACATGAACACAGCCTCCTCTCCTCTATGAGCGGTTGGATGTAAATGGACTGCCTGTCCGTTTATATCCAACTGCCATCCAATCAGATCTGCTGGATGGAAGGGGAACAAATCCCTGTCCGTCTGTTTTTAGTGGATTGGATCTAGTTGGATGTAGGCAGGTGTAAACTAACTGACACATTTCCTTTTACATCCCCCCCCCCCAAAGGTCTTCTGGGACACATGATAGGTCCGAGAAGACTGCGGGACCATTCACCATGCACAGTGCTACTCGTGCATGCACAGTGGGCTCCTGGCTGTGAAAGCTGCAAGCTGGTTGTTTTGTTGTTGGTCTGGTATGGATTTTAAGGGGAACCCCATGCTAAAATTAAAAAAGAAAACAGCATGGGATCCCACCAAAATCCATTTCAGATCCTTATCCAAGCATGCAGGCTAGCAGGTCAGGAAGGGGGGGTGAACCCCTTCCCCCCGAAAAATACTAGACCACATGCCCTCAACATGAGGGGGGGGGGGTGCTTTGGGGCTCCTCCTCCCTCAAAGAACCTTGTCCCCATGCTGATGAGGACAAAATTTTGGATGTACATTGCACTGCAAAGAATAGCATGCGATTTGAACAGGAATGCGATTCCTGTCCAAATTGCATGCGGTTTCCCCACTGCTCTTGTTTGAACCCAGGCTTATCATACCATGAGTTCACACAGGAGCGGTTCGGAAAACCTCCCTGCACCAAACCCATGCTGTCACAGAAGGAAAAGCTGGTGATCAGTGAGGGGGGGGAATTCATGCACTGCTCCTGTGTGAACTCAGGCTATGACGAGCCTGGGTTCACACAGGAGCGGTGGGGAAACCGCATGTGCTTTGGACAGGAATGTTCAAATCACATGCTATTCTTTGCAGTGCAATTTGTGTCCATTCATTTTGTATTGGCACAAATCGAAAAGTATCTGTTTCAGGTATCGGGAGCATTTTCACTAGTACACAGGGGAAGGCATATCCAGGAGCCCAGAGAGTTGTGAGAAAAGAAGTAAAAGGTGCCTGGGCCAGCATCTGAGTGCTCCATAGACACACACAGTTGAACATAGCACCGCCCCCCACTTTCTCTTCACCACACTTGAAAGACAGCAGCAAGAGCCAATGGCTCCTGCTGCTCTTCGAGTCCCTGTGTGAAGAGGAAGCGAGGGGAGAAGAGATGCAACCATACACAGCGCTTATCTCTTCTCCCCCTCTCTTCCCATTCACACAGGGAAGGGGAAGCACAGAGAACTTAAAAATGTTTTTTACCCTAAAGCGGAGTTCCGCTCACTCTGTAAAAAAAATAAAAGTCAGCAGCTACAAGAACTGTAGCTGCTGACTTTTAAAAAACAGCCACTCACCTGTCCCATGATCCTGCGTTGTCCACGCCGCAGCCCATTTCACCAACCGTCCTGTATTCCAGGCACCGGCATCTTTGGTGTGGGCACCCAGCTGTGACAGCTTGCGGCTTCACAGTCGGGTGCCCACTGCGCATGCGTGAGTAGCGCTGCACTTCCTGAATGACCCCGTTGTCTTCTGGGACCTGTCACATGTCCCACAAGACTTCGGGGAGGGAGGGTAGGAGGACAAATTCCATTTCCGATCGCCTAGGCGATCACAGCGGAAGTGGGAGCGGGTACCTGTCAAATTCCCCCACTCCTCAAAGATGCCAATCCTTAATGGGGAGAGGGGGGACCAATCTTTAAAGTGGAACCTCCCCTTTTGGGTGGAACTCCGGTTTAATGCAAATAATGCATTACGCCCTGGTCACATCAAAGCCGATTTTAAAATTGTGCAACTTACAGTGACTTGCTGATTTGAGGTGCGATTTGCAAGACATCTAGCACAGTCGTCTATACAAATCACACCAAACGTAGTGCATGCACTACTTTAGAAATAAGTGCGGCTCTGACCAAGTTGGAACAGCACCGATATGACTGTTCTAATGGCGGACAATAAGGTGTGACTTGGCATGCAATTTGCAAGTTACATGGCATGCAAATCGCATGCCAAGTTGCACCCGATGTGACCGGATTTTAAGGTAAAAAAACGTTTTTAGGTTTAGTATCACTTTAATGTCTTTTAATTGTGCTGGGGCTTCCTTTTTCTCAGTTGACACATCCCACAAATGTTCAATGTGGACCTACATGTACACAAAACTCTGATGTCACAAGGAGGCTTTCGAAAAGACTGGTGTCATTATTCAACTTTACCATTTATATAACTATGAATTGTAAGCGCTAGAAATCCAGTGTGGATCCTAAGCTCTTTTGTCCAACAGTGCATCTATATCGAGGACGGACTGACCATTCGAGCACTGGGGCACTGCCTGAGGGCCCGGGGTCAGTGGGGGGCCCTATAAAATGCCCCTGGTACCTTTTATAGGCTTTTTTGGGTGTGTTTTGAGTGTGGGCAAGGACACAGGGGCCCATGATCCCCAATTGGCCGGGGGCCCCATGAATTGTCAGTCCGCCCCTGATCTATATACAAATTGTATGGTAGCACATATTCATATGGTTAATATTACTGATGTGTTCAACATGTAGTGGTGCTTTTAATTAGGACCCAATCCAAAAATTTCTTTAGTTGTAGACAAAGTAGAGGGGTTACAACCTCCAATTAAAATCTTCCACTGAGTTTAACCCTTCTCCACACTCTAAATAAAAATTAGCCACAATTCAGCTCTAAATCTCTGGTTCCAAAGTGCGTACTGATGTTGGCAGCTCTTAATACCAAGGGGTATTGATAGTGCTTTGTGCCTGGGCTATACAAAAAAAAAAAATTCAAAATGGCTCTACCAATCCAGATGATGGCAAACTCAGCAAAAAAACATGTTCCTTTATCTAATTAGTGAACTGCTGTATAGAAAGTGCTAGATTTATTTTGGATGGTTCTGCTTTAAACCCGCATCTCATCTATTGGTATCTATACAATGAAGCCCCTCAGGAATATCCATTTCCCATTCTTCTCCCCTAGCTGGCTGTAAACAACCGATGTCTTTTTTTTTCCCTTTCTTGTGTTGGTTTTTGATTTACTAAACTGTTGTAGCCTGTGATTAAAATGCTTTTCAGCAAAAGGAAATAACGGGAAGACGAAGGAACAAAAGAATAGATGCCTGGTGGCCCCCATCTGTGTGAAAAAGTGGTTTAGCGAAAGAAGCCAGAGTCAGCAGTTTATGCGCAAAGGTAAAAATATCAGGCACACAGGGTTATTGTTACATACACAGCTAAGAAGTACGTGCGGAACCTAGACTGTGCTTGGTATAGGCATGCTGAGCGAAAAGGTAACAGCTAAAACACAATGGGGGAGGGGGATTTTTCTCATTGAGAAATATAGGCATGCTAGAACCAAAGGAGGACTAGTGACTTGGAACGTCAAGCTCATAAGTTAAAGGTGTCATGATGGCTTCATTCTTCATATATATATATACTGCAAATACCAGAGGTAATAAAATCACATGTATATCAATAAAATAAAAACAGGGATATTAACAAAACACTCTGGATGGTTGCTGGGCATGTGCAAATGTAGCTCACTGTCTGCAGCACTGACAGGAAAAGGACTCTGTTTCTGTGCAGCAGAGTACACTTTTAGACAGGCACAGCTACAGTAGGAGATTCTTAGGCATCATGCACACTGGCTTTTGCATACTGCAGTCGACTCTTTTATCTTTGGAGACAGCAAGGGGGGTACGCCTGGGAGTTCTGGCACGGAGGCCTTCATTACGCAGTGTGCCAATAAAAACACTGCTTTTAGAGGCCTTTTGCATTTTTTTTTCTGCCTCTAAATGCCCTTCTTTGTTAGCCTAAGTGTCCATGCACACATTTACTGGCACAAAAAATCAGGGCCAGCAAGCTCTAGAGAGGCTAGTTAGTGCCCTTCAGTCAAACAGGTTAGATAGTTCCTTCCAATGTCAAAAATGATGTGCCTAATCCAGGGGCGGACTGACCATTTGGAAACTCGGGCACTGCCCGAGGGCCCGGGGTCAGTAGGGGGCCCCATGAGATGCCCCTGGTACCTTTTTCATAGACTTTTTTGAGTTTTGGCAAGGGGCGGACACATGGGCCCCATGATCCCCTGTTGCCCGGGGGCCCCATGAGTTGTCAGTCCGCCCCTGGCCTAATCACATGTAAAGGAGAATGCCACCAGCACGCCGAGTATCACCAATATGGGCACACAAGTTTTAATAAACGATCACAGTTACAGCAAGGCAACATTTTGGAGTCTCGCAGGGCCCCTTGTTGGTCACATGCCTGATGAAGGGGTCTGCGAGACTCCGAAACGTTGCCATGCTGTAACTATGCGATTGTTCATTAAAACTTTTGGACCCATATTGGTGATCCTCAGTGTGCTGGTGACATTCTCCCTTGCTGATTCTGTTCAGTTCCTGCAGCACCCACTTATACACACAGCCATTTTTAATGCAGGAACATGTGCGTTTGGATTGTACACTTGTATTCATGTGTAAACACACATAAACATTTTTAGGTGTGCCAAGTGCTTGGGTGTTCGTCTATTCCAATGGCCAGAATAAATTAATATTCTGGCCAATGGAATGAATGAACGCCTAAGAGTTTGATGCGCCTAAATGCATTGACAAAATGCAGATTTAGACGTATTTTTAACTCTGCTTTTTCCACCCCTGGAAGCCTATGCTCCTGTGTGCCTGGGGCCTTATTGTAAAGCTGTGTAAAGCCAGTGTTGAGCCTGCTCTCTACCCACTAAGACACACAGGATGTGGACTGCATGGATTGTAGGAGATGTAGTTCTGACAGACTGAGCTATCTTGGTAAACTGGAAGAAGGGGATTGCAGATCCCACAAAGCACTGGGGCAAAAGCGAAGAGCTGGTTCCCTGCTGATTTGCTGGTGCTGAGAAGAAGTGTGGAGGCTTTTCTGAGGGGATTTGGCTGCTATCAAATAGCTCACTTCTGCACCTGAGATGAAAAGAGGCACAGCGACAGCCATTCTGGGGCATTGGCGAGAGCCACAGATGTTGGTGGAGCCCACTGCCTGACCAAAACCACATTACACTTTGATCAAGTAACACAGAGTCAGTGCCTGTTTCCATTCTTAACCCCTTTACGCCTAAGGGTAAAGCAAATCCTAATGCCTAAGCACAATTTTGCAACTTTGACAGGTGTTAGTAAAACTGTACATATCATCTTGTTTTTTTCAGGACAAATTGGACTTTAATTTGGTGGTAAATCGCTATGGATATCTCCTAATTTTGTTTTCATTACCATAGGAAAACTGACCCAAAATAGTAAAAAAATTGTAAAAAAAAAGATTTTTCAATTTAGCTATATATTTCTTGTATCTACCATAACCTACCACCAAAGAAAAACCTGAAATAAATTCTCCTGATCCTGACGATTGCAGCAATACCAGATAAGTGTACGTTGTTATTTGTACCCGTAGTGCAGCCCAGAAACAATAGTGCACATTTTGCTTCTTTTTTTTTTATATTACCTAAAACACACTGACACTAACACTAATTTAAAATTATATGTAAAAAAAAAAGAAAATCCTGCCCAAAGTATACTGACCCTGACTTTTGGCCCTGACCTTGACCCAAACACTAACCCTGGCACTGACCTAGATCAAACCTTCTTGTTATTTTTTTTTTCTCTCTGCAAGGAGAGAGAGAGACACAATGTGTCTCTCTTCTCTATTCGGAGGGAGAAAACCCTGGAGCCGGCTTCACAGTGACTGATCACTGTGATAGCCAATCAGAGGCTATCACGGTGATCAGGTGATCCGGAATCAGGAGTTCCGGGTCCTGACAGTTGGGTGAAACCCCGGTCTCGGTGCTGGGACCGTGCTCCCAGCACAAAGGAAGATACCCTGCAGCAAAAAAGTGCAGTGCATATTTGTGTTACGTTGGCATCAAGGGGTTAAAAGGACATTAGTGTAAAAAAGGTTCAGCGCAAATGAAAAGGAACAGTATGTTAAACGTACCCAAAAAATTAAATATAAATAATAAACATACAACAAAGTGACTAAAAAGTGAATATGCAAAATGAATACAATCGCAGTGAAGCGCTCTGATCGGTGCTATGGTGACATATAATAAATGCAATTATCGCACTGAAGTGCACTAGTAGTATAATCGAAATATGATGAATAAAGTGACGCACTGGAGGAACAGTGCAATGGTGAAAATAAATGGTGATTGTGGTGGAATGAATATACAAATAATCAATGCAGGCAAATATAGAGTCCAAATAATAAATGAATCCAAATGCAGATCGTGACTTCCAGTGATCAGTGAATCTGTGAAAAATTATATGCACTCACCAGAAGCACAGTGGAAAAGGTGGGGACTATAATATAGACTGCTAGACTGTCATGGTGGTTTTGTAGTACTCCCTAGATAGGATTGCCCCCAGGTTGGGGTTTAACAGAAGTTGCTCTCTACACCAAATAAGTGTTTCTCCACAGTATATTTCATTTTTACTGTTCATCTATTTGCAATATATGCATTGCTATAGTTTAACTGTTTGCTATTTCATTGTTGATTTATATCTCTTTTGCTACTAGGTTACTGCATATACATTTGCATTAAAAATCCCCCCGCCAGGTGTCTCACACTGTGTGGTGCTAGTTGCAGAGTTGTAGGCACAGGAATGGGATCCTTATCCTATGTTGCCCCGTGGCTATGTGAATATCCTTTGAATCTCCTAGGCCAGCTTTTCTCAACCTTCTTACCCCAGAGGAACCCTTGAAATAATTTCCAAATCTCAGTGAACTCTTACTAAAACCAATTTATTGGGGGCTAGTGGGAAAATTCCTCCTTACATTGGTGACCAGTGGTACAAATTCCTGCTTTAGAGACATCTTAAAAGACCTTCAGACCCAATATCCTTTGTGTCATTCAGCTGGCTCTGCGAAGTGCAGGCACCATCAGATGGGAGGTCAATCAGCCACAGCTCAAGTAATCCTTAGCAGCCTCTAGAGCAGTGTTTCTCAACCTTTTTTCAGACAAGGCACCCTTTAAAATTATGGATAGTCTTGAGGCACCCTGTTCTAAAATGGGGTGCCTCAAGACTGTCCATAATTTTAAAAGGTTACGCCATTCTAAAATGTGAAAAACTATTCTAATAGTTTTATATAACGCAGCAACATCCACACGTGTAGAACACCCAACATTAGAGGTGATTTATTCTTTCAAATACACTTTTACACACTGGTACTGACTAGTATTCCATTGTTTCTATTCTCCCTCAGTTTTTATCCATCACTGAGCTAATGTGACCCCAGCACTGATGGAGAGGGGCAGGGGAGGGGCAAACTAAAACCTTGTGTTTTGCACCGTATTGTTATTGTACTGTCTCATGTATTGTCCCCCATTGTAATGTACAGCGCTGAGTGAACTGTTGGCGCTATATAAATACTGTATAATAATAATAACTAGGATGCTATGCAGGCAGCCGACATCCTCCTTATCAGTTGATGCTGTCATTGGTTGTCAGGATGCCTGCGGCTAGAAGGTCATGATGGTGCACAATGAAAACCTGTGGCTTTGTGTAACTAAAAGGCAGGCTTGTTCCACCCGCTGGCTTGTATACAAGTTTTGGGC